ATGAAAGCCCACCCTCCGACGCCGCGGTGGACGTCTGGTCTCCGGTGTCATCGGGCGTAAGGGCTACCATCTGTTAGACGGCTCGCTTCCCCCGCCCGAAGCTTGGATGGAGCGCTTAGAGGAGCGGGAGGTCCGCGGGCCCGTGGGCGACGGATTATCTCTCGCTGAAACCCTCAGATCTGCCCGAGTGCCCGCTGCAGAGCAGGGGACAACTGGGGTGGTTCGCCCTTTTGCAAAGGCTAGCCGCAATCTTTACTGCGCAACAGTCATGGCATCGCAATGACGACATGAACTGCCCGCGAGCAGCGCATTAACATGCTGGACCCCCCAGACATGCAATGCAGTGCTCGTGCCCATCATCCAAGGACAGGAAACCACCGCATCCAGAAACGCACAGTCGGAGCGCCGTCCTGAAAAGCACGTGCTGCACGACTGTGTTGCTCTTTCTGTGAAGTTTGCAACTTTATACGCACCGCTCTGGAGGACCGGACCCAAAGAACGCCAGGCAAGGGAGAAACCCAGCTCGACCGTCTGCCGCTGCGTGTACACACTCTGGACCGGGAGAATGCTTTCGTTCGCTCAGAATCGCTGGTCACAGCAGGAGGAACCCTCATCGACTCGATCAGAAAGTCTCTGAAGCGAAAAGGATAGCGTCTGCTGGCACCAGGTGAGCTTATATACTCAGTTGATTGCTTATGCCGCTCACCTGCGCAGGCTTGCGCTGCCAATTCATTCTTAATTGGCCCGTTCAATACTCTTTCAGACGAGTAGCTTCTGAACCGAACCTTCCAATGCGTGGATTTTACAATCAAATCCACTTATAGTGCTGGAGTTTCCCCCGAAGGGGAACTACAGTTCGAACCGCTGTGGTTAAAACCATTCTTACAAAACCAAATGAAAAAAGGCAAAAAAAAAAGAAAAGAAATAAACAATTCAAGCGAAAATCAATAAACAATATGCTAGCGAAATTGTATCAATACTTGACAATTTGCAGGGTTGGGATGTGTAAATATCCTGTTGATATTTAGAAATCTTGCTGTATTTATCTTTTAAACGCACGATTGTTCCCGCATCGTAAATCGTTATCTATGGTGTGTAGGCTATATTTTGGGTTCTGTTGATTGCTAAATAAACATTAAAACCTTTCTAAAAAAGTACGTGTTGTTTATATGTTATTGTTCATATTTTACAAGTTGTATTTCTACCCCTGAACATAACAAATACCAACAACCCTGTTAGAAGAGAATATATTATTTGTGCTCATATTAGTCTAACTCGGTCTAAAGTGTATAAAAGATTGTTTATTTCTGCAGGCCAACATCTATTGCTTTTATTAAAGTATAACAGCTTACATCACACCGTTTTTAAACCGTATATTATTCTGTGTTTTTAAACGAAAGTGCTTCTATTTACATCAGCGAGCCCTTGTGATAGTGCAGATACCAGTCAAGTGAGAAGTTCGGGGCGTGTGGTTGATTTTACATGAAGCGTTTGGTTGGAAGCTCGATTCCGCGGCTCCTCCTCTGGCTCCATCAGACAGTCCTTCTGTGCATGCCCAGGCTCCAATTTCAGCAGTCTTTTGCGACAGTTTGTGCCCGTCAAGCACGCGTTTTGCCCTTAAGGAGTTCAATGGGAAAAGGGGCTGTCTCGTCGTCCATATTTTTTACAGTCATTGGTCTTAACCCTCACTGGTGAGATGACAATTTTCTCTTCGAAATCAGGTTGGCAGATGTTTGGAACTCTTCAGTCTCTTAGTGAGTGGCTTTAAAGCAAAAATCTAATTCTCGCTTCGCAAGCTCCAGCTGATATATCGTTAATGACTAATTGCTTGTACCTGCGGAGCTGACCTCTGCCAATTCATTTGGCATTCATTGGCCCGTTTTTTTTACTCTTCAGAGTGATTGGTCATCTAGCGATCTCCCATAGTGTCTTTCCCTAGACACATGTCGAAGTTCCCATGAAAGGGAACCTTTTGTTCTGGTTTAGGCACAGAAGAGATTTGCCATAAAGCAAAAACCTACAGTACACTTACAGTATATTAGACAGCAACTTAACTTTTGAAAATCATATCTTCCATGTTACAAAAACTGAATTTTTTTATCTGAGAAATATTGCTAAGTTACGAAGTAAGCTATCCATCTCAGATGCAGAAAAGCTAGTCCATGCTTTTATGACTTCAAGGCTGGACTACTGTAATGCTGTTTCCTGGCTGCCCAGCATCCTCTATAAATAAACTTCAGCTAGTACAAAACACAGCTGCCAGAGAAAATCTGATCATATCACCCCAATTTTTTCCTCCTTACACTGGCTGCCTTTTAAGTTTTGTATTGAATTTAAAATATTGCTTCTTTCCTATAAAGCTTTAAATAATATAGCTCCTGTTTACCTAACCAACCTTCTGTCTCGCTACAATCCAACTTGCTCTTTAAGATCTCAAAACTCAGGGCTTCTGGTAGTACCTAGAAAAACAAAGTAAAGTAATGAAGATTGAACCTTCTTATTTATGGCTCCCAAACTCTGGAATAGCCTTCCTGATAACGTGCAAGGCTCTGACACACTCTCGCAGTTCAAAACTAGATTAAAGACCTATATTTTTAGTAAAGCATACACTCAGTTAATCACTTAAGCCTAGTTCACACTACAGGATTTTAAACATCAGCAGATCGCTGTACTGTTCACACTACATGACTTGACTTTGTGTCTTTTAATCTCTGAGGTGTTCACACTACGCAACACTCCGTGAACTATCCACAAGAGGGGGGTCACACACTACATGATCTGACAACAACTCATTCCCCATCAGCTCATTCAAGCTACCAAACCACAGCCAATGAAAATTTGAGGGAGGAGTCGTCAGAAAAAGCTGAACACTATTGGCTGCTTGTGTGCTGATGAAATCACTGACAGCGTTTCAAGCTTTGGAGAAAGCATTTAAAAACATCGTCAAATCAGCTGATTTATGAGCGGATTAATCACTCATCTGCAAGGTTCGAGTGGATAGATACACAGAGAGTTTTTAATTTTTGTAATTTTATAACTCTTTGAAATAAAACTAACATATTTATAACACCCTGCTGTTTTCTAACTATCAGTGTATTTCTTTCTGACATTGTTATTTTTTTTATTACAAAATAGTAAAGAACTAAGCATTTCTGCCTTAAATTACCATATTGGTCAAAATGATTGCATGCATGTCTGATATTTTTCGCTGTGACTTTAAATGTGTGTGCATTTTCTTGCCTGGCAACTTCCTGCTAACATAAACAAAACTTTCTGATGGCAAAAACATCAATTTACTTCAGATATCTTTCAAAACTGCATATTCTGTGCTGTTAAATAGCTCCTGTTTGAAAGTGAAAATGAAAGCCAAGACCTTTCAGTGTTTTGGTATCTTAACTACATATTTATAGGCTATTATATTATAATAATAATATTATATTTTTAGGGTAATGGTGTCATTAAATATGATGCCAAACATTCAAAGCTTAATTTTAATATCTCAATAATAGCTTTGAATGTAAATATGTTGTGACAGTATGGCGTTTTATATGAGAACGGTCAGAGTGAGCCGTATGGTAATTCTAATAGTTACAGAATTCTAGTTCCACTGTTAATATAGCCTACTCTCATGTCTGTGGTAACGCAGAATGAAGCGAGTGCACCGATGCCCATTCTGACCAATCACAGATGTTTCTGCTGAGCTCCTGAACACACAGGCATTCAGCTCATGCTGATATGCTCTCTCATTGGCTGCAGCTCGTCACTACATCTGACCACACGTGGGGTTGAATCGGCCGACTGCTCTGGAATATTTAGCATGCTGAATGTTGGATTTCCGTCTGCGAGGTGTCGGCGACGCGCCAGCGAGCCTCGTTGATGCGTTGTTCAGTAGTTCACACATAAAGAGTGGCGAGCGCCGAGCACCCGCAAATTTCTTCTCGATCACAGCCCGATCTGTCGGCGAGCTTGTTAACTTCCAAATCGGGCTCAAATCAGGCTTAAAATCCTCTAGTGTGAACTAGACATTAGCGGTATAATACATGAATGTGCTCCACACAGGTTTCTGCATCTTGTTTATACACACTATGAACAGCAGCTACTCTAATTATTCTCTTTATTCTCTATTTCCATCTAGGGATACTCATACCAAGGTTCTCAGACTATGCAGCACCACTGATTTGATCCAAGACCAGCGACGAGATGATCCCAAGTTTTCCATATCCTGGACCAGGCCGTATCCTGAGCAGCTGCTGTGGTAGTCTTGTAGGAGTGGAGAGCATGAGATTCCTGCGACCATCCAGGGACAGATGAGTCTTTGCTGACGTACAGATTCCTGCCTACAGCCCCTCGACTGCAGCTCTGCACAAGACGTTTGGCCAGTGGAGAAATGGTCGTGCCCAACTGAGCCTGGTTTCTCTCTAGGTTTTTTAATTCTTCACTTTCACCAATTGGTGAAGTTTTCTCCTCGCTGCTGTCGCCACTAGCTTGCACGGTTCGGGATCTGCAGAGCTGCCATCGATGGATTTGCTCTTCAGTGTTTGGACTCTCATAAGTGATTATTAACCACAATGAACTGAGCTAAACGGAACTGAACTTAAACTCTGAAAACTGAACTACACTGTTTCAATTTACTATGATCTTCTATGTGAAGCTGCTTTGACACAATCTTCATTGTAAAAGCGCTATACAAATAAAGGTGAATTGAACTGAAAGTACGCACTCAGGGGGGTGGGATGGGGAGAGCAGGGGGGGTTTGGGGGGTAGCGCACGTACTGAAGAGCGGTGTTGTCGCGCGCGTTCTGATCAGCTGTGTTGTCGCGCGCCTACTGAAGGGCGGGACCGAGGGTGTGTGCCGCGTCGCGGGGGCACTTTTGATCATTTTGGAAGGGCACTTTCTATCCAAGACTAAAAAGGGCATGTGCACTGCACAGGTTGAGCCTTATGTGTGCACGTGCCTAAAGTCACTTCAAGTAGACGTGTAAAAACCGTGTGTGGACTGTGAACTTTGTCATGGCATTTGTGTGTGCATCAGTGCATCGTTTAATAAACTCCACCAGAAATACATCAAATAATATTACTTGCTATATTTGACTCAAAACAGCTACATACACATTGCTCTGAACACAAAATGGACACATTCTGGAAACTATAACAAATGCTCTGATGGGTGTTTTGAGCTGAAACTTTACAGACACATTCTTGAGACACCAAAGACTTATCTTACATCTTGTAACAGGGGTAAAATAGGAGTATCTGATTAAGAAAAGCTAGTCTGTAGATAAGAAACGTTCATGTGATGAACTAGTTTCAATATTAATTTGAATTCTGCTACATCTAGTTATTACATAGAACTGAAACAAATATGTATAATTATAACGAGTTATGATTAATGAATCATTTTTCGCTATGAGCTAAATTTGGCGTGTGTGTGTGTGTGTGTGTGTGTGTGTGTACTGGTTTCATGCTGGTGATGGTGACGTTAATTGGCTGTTTAATAGTCCTGTGGATTCTACACATTGTTTGTCTGAATATTGTTTTTAAGAAAAAAATGTTGTCTGTAATTTACAGCATGAACAAAAATACAACTTAATGACTTTTTAAAGTGCTCTTTTCTCACAGATCCACTGAAAATAATTATTACACGGATAATCGGCCCATCCTGAAGAACGAGATACAGCACAGTTCTCTCCTCTTTTTCCATTGGGTTCAAAGGTCCCCCAAAATCTGAAACTACAGATCAGCATTAGATGTTCAGTGCTTTAGTGACTGGAAAATCATTTATTAGATAATAATCAGTTCAGTTCAGTGATTTCTTACCCAGAGGTCATGCTGGGGTCATCAACCCATTTCCAACTGCCTTCCTCATCACTGTCACTCAGACCAATCCAGACCACATCACCACCAGATATTTTCTTAACAAAATCCTAAATGTGTACAAAATGATATTGTAATCTGCCACCATTTAGCTGTCTTCACACAGACTTTATACCTTGTGTATAAAAGTATATGAATCGCCTGACAACCGACTTGCCATAAAAAAAATCCTATTTCATCTGTTCACTTCATCACTGTCAGTCAGCCCAATCCAGACTGTAACACCACCTGATATTTTCTTAAAAAATACTAAGAAGAAGAACCAATTATATGAAATCTGATTATGCCCAAACTCAGTTGGCTTTGTATAGAACTCCCACTGTCCAGTTGGCAGTACTACAGTAAAAATCTGTGACACAAACGAGACGGTCAAAGTTGCATTGTTGTTCAAAGTTAAACTGCTCTAATAACGAGTCTCCTTCTACAATGTTACACTTGTGACTAACCATTCAGGGTGTACAGTAACAGTAACACTTGTAAATCCATACAGTACAAAGCAAACAAAATAACAACAATTATATTTAGCATAATTAATAAGTGATTTTTTTCAGACACACACAAATATGTAGATTATTAGGACCTTTAGGATGAATCTATTTTATACTGTATAAACCACTTATTATAGGGACTTACCCTTAACCCAACCATCATTTTAAATTATGATGACACAGAGCATGTCCTCAATAACCACTTTAAAAAGTGCAATAACAAGGTCATACTCATGTCACTGTACAATTGTAAACCACATATACCAGAATACGCACACACACAAACAAACAAACAAACAAACACACACACACACACACACACACACACACACACACACACACACACACACACACACACACACACACACACACACACACAGGGGGAGAGAGAGTTTTTCACTCACTTGTTCTTCTTTGTTGTTTATGATGATCAGATCTGCTCCTCTGTCTCTACAGTTTCTTGTGCTCTCAGACCAGTTCTTTTTCTCTGAAGAAATGAAGTAAAAGCTGGACTGATAGTTAAACCATCCATCTGTAAACACAACAAAGTAGAAGTAATTTATTTCCATCACACTAAACGACACTATATGTGAATAAAAGGTTGTAACCAAAGATGAAGTACCTAGTTTATTACGACACTCCTGCAGGTTGTTTTCCACCTGCTGTAACTGCACGTTTTGTATTATCAGATCATCATTCTTAGATAATAATTCATTCTTTTCTTTTGTCAAGTTTTGGTTCTGAGCATTCCCAGCATTGATATTGATTAGTAGTTGGTCTCTCTCTTCTATGAGGTTGGTTATGTTGATTAGTAGCTGGTCTCTCTCTTCTGTGAGGCTTGTAATTCTGTTCTCTTGTGTGTAGTTTGTATGGGTGTAGACGCTCAGCACTATGACTGCAGTCAGTAGAAGAAAACACAGCAGCACCAAACACACTGGATAAGCTCTGAAGATTCTTGTATTTACTGAGTCACTTCCTGATGAAGACCAATATGATGTTACATAATTTAATGTGCAAACTGTGACATTTTTATTTGAATAAAAGCTCTGCATGAACTTAATACTAAATGATTAAATGTGCAAAATGTGTAATTACCTGTTTGTTGAATTGGTTGTTGTGTGTTAATCCTGAAGTCTTGATCTCTCACACAGTTTGCACTCTCATAAATAGCCACCATCATCTCCACTTGCTCACTGTTCCTTTCCCCAGACTCTGAGCTAAACACATTCTCATAAACATCTTTAGACATTTTTACTCTTTTACAAGATAATAAACTGCTAATGCTGAATGTTCTTAGTGTGCCTTTCAGTTTCACACATTTATCTCCAACAACTAAAGAAACAAAGAGGAAATGAGAGTCTAACTGTGTCAAATTCAAGTCACGTGACATCTTATTATTAGTTGAGGCTAAGAATGTGAGCAGCTAAATCTACAAATGTTCGGTATCAACAGATTGCATTTGATGTACAGTATTGTTTTTTAAGAGAATTGCTTAATAAATAATAATCTTGATTTCTGACCAAAGGACACACTTTTACTTCCTGAACAAATGCAAGACCCCGAAGCTCAGCTCTGCTCACGCTGTCGGAAATAGCGCTGTATATCTTTAGTCTTTAAATAGTCAGACACACTGTTAGACCTTACCAGGTTTTTTTACAGTAGAATACTGGCAACACTGTTGCCAGCTACTCACTGTAAAAGTTTGGTTTCAGTAAGTAACTGGCAACAGTGTTGCCAGTTATTTACCATAACTGAACCATTACAGTGAGTGGCTGGCAACAGTGTTTTTCTATTTAAAAATAGAAGGCATAACATTTTTTCAGACAAATTAATTTTATTGTTTTGGCACCAAACATATAAATAACAGAAAATGTATAACAAAATTAAGTAAGGCTGCGGTCACACTAACGTTTGAGCATGCAAAATTCTGTCATGCTGCACTGCGAAGTGGAATTAAACAAAGCGAGGAGTGGAATTAAACTAAATAATTAGAGATTGAAAAAGCAAGCCAGAGAGGTCATGTTTTGATCTTTGATTGGTCTCAAGCAATCATATGATTTGATTTCGCATGTCAGCGTTCTTCAAGCTTCAACTTTCCAATGCTGCGAATTATAAAATTTGTCGCATAAGTTATCATTCCAGGTCTGCAGTACTCAAATGCGTATGAATGGAAGTCCATAGGGAGAAAAGTGTGACCGGGAATTTAAGCTGTAACTCTAATTAAACACACCTGATCAAACTAATTAAGGCTTGTTAGAAATCTACAGGTAATGTTGAAGCAGGGTGGGTACTAAACTCTGCTGTGCTGCAATTCTCCAGGAACTTGGAGTTTGACCCCCATGGTATATAGCAGGGGTGCTCAATCCTGTTCCTGGATATCTACCATCCTGCAGATTTCAGTTGCTACCCATATCAAACACACCTGCCTGTAATTATCAAGTGGTGTTCAGGTCCTAATTAATTGGTTTAGCTGTGTTTGATATGGATAGCAACTGAAATCTGCAGGAAGGTAGATCAGCAAACGAACAGCAAAAATCACAACATAATTATTTTAAATTTTAAAGTTTTAAATAATTAAAAACTAGGTCAAATCTCAATAAAAAGTTTAAAATATTTATAAAAAATAAAAATAAAGTTGGCAACACCAAAAAACCAAAGGATCCAATCTTTTATTGTTATAATTATCTCATGACAACAAACTTTTTTATTGTTTCTAATATAAATTCATAGGTGGAAACACTGCTCTGAAAAATACTTAGCAATAAACTCACAACCTGGGACCGGACAGTGGAGCTTTTGTGTGTGGATGGCTATGTGTATCATGTTTTTGTGATTCCCTGTGATGATGTGCACATGTTACCTTACTGAGATGATGGAATTTAATTTTAGCTTAGTTGCCAGAAAGATTCATACAACTGTTAGCATCTGTACATTATGGCAGTTTGCAGGGCCGGATTAACCAATGGGCCTTATGGGCACAGGCCCAGGGGCCCGTGCGCACTAGGGGCCCCTGCGAGGGGGGAGAAAAAAAGACAACGTCGGAGTGTCTTTTTAGGCTAATTGCAAATAGCGCATCTAGTTGGACTAAGCTATTCAGGGTTCACGCCCATCGATGACTGATTGATAGAGACAAGATGAGTAAAGAGCTGTGAAATAATACAGTAACAGTGGCGCACCTTGTAAGGCGCACAGCATCATCTTTTGACGCGATTAATCATAACATCGGTTTGAATCCACCATCAGCTGAACTCGTGCTACTTTTTTTTTCTCCCCATTACATATCAGATTGGAAATATATTTATTTTGAACAGGAAAGAAACATTTTATTTAAATAATGCAAATGTGATATAAAGTCACAAGTGTCTCATGGGTATTTAATAATGTTTAGCCTTATTATAGGCGCCTGCCGCGCCTCCCTCTCTTCAAAAACTATATTGCTCAGACAACTGTATTTCCTCTGAGCAAAAAAAATCGCGATCACATATTAATATTATTATTATATTTAAATTGCCTTTCTTTCTTTAACTAAACAGAATGCTGTAATTGGTCAAGTGCGGAAACGTCAGTTTTGTAATAACCCGCACTAAACTGAGCGGACTTTAGTGTAACGTTATATCTGTCATAGATCAAAAATGAGTGGATTTAACAAACGTGACAAAAAGAGGAGAGGAGGCATCTTTATTGAGGCATTTTCCATACACCATATACCAAAATTATTATATTATTCTTATTTTTTTAATTCAACTATAGGGGTGCGGCGAGGTAGGGGGCCTTACAAGATAATGTGCCCAGGGGCCCCTGAGTTCTTAATCCGGGCCTGGCAGTATGCAATATCCAATAAATACATATACTTAAACAAAAGTAATGTAAGAAGTTATATAAGGAGAGGCTAACTAGCTAACAATGTAGCTTTCAAGTACACAGTTCAAGATAACAACAATATAACTTAAAACACAGCCGTATTTTAGAAACCCTCAAAAACATTTGAACACATTTTACTTACTCATTGTAGATTCTTATTTAAAGCCTAAAACATATCAGACTCTACATCTGAATTGATGGACAGAGAATAGAGCACACTCAGCAGTAAACAAATCAAACACCTGGCTCCCTTAAAGGGCCGGCATTTTCTGAAAACTCTTTTTAACACCTTTGTGTTTAGAATAAGACAGACAGCCTGTGGGAGTGTGTGGTGATACCTAAATCATTATTTTCTGCCTTTAAAATGCACATCTCTATAAATAGCAACATAAACCATCAGAGAAGATGGGACAGTAATGGTTGAACAGTAATTTGCTATTAATTGTCAGTTACTATCTGTAATGAGTACATGAAGTAAATTACTGGAATTTATTCTTTGCACTACACAATTTCATACAAAGTCTACTCCTTTTACAGTAAAATAATATGTGTTAATAAATAATAAATGTTTCCTTTTATTACAGCAAAACACTGGCTATTTTACAGTTATTTACTGCACAATCTACAGAGTAGCAGTGCAGTTATACTAATTAAACACACCTGATCAAACTAAATCTAAAGGTAGTGTGTTGAAGCTGGAACTAAATTCTGCTGGGCTGCGGCCCTCCAGGAGTTTGACATCCCTGGTACATAGCATATTTTCAAAGGAATTGCCTACATTTATCACAATCATGCACATATCATTGAATAAAAACAATAAAAATTTAAAAACGTCATCCAAAGCGAAAAAATAAAACATAAATAAATAATCTGATCCTCATGTTGTTCCAAATATTAATACATTTATTTAGGAAAGTCTTTATACTATACTGTTATTGCCATTTTTACCTACTTCATTTGAAGTTTTCCAAACAAAAAATGTATGTACGTACTGTTTAAGATATTTTTAAATAACACATTTTTACTAGTTATTTAGCAAAATACTAATATTCAGCTTAAAGTGCAATTTAAAAGCTTAACTATAGGCTAAACTAGGGAAATTAGATTAATCATAGAAAAGTAAACAAAGTTATAAAAATGATTGTGATAATTTGGTTGCTCTGTGTGAATATTTTTGCCTTTAAATGCATCTCGTTGATATCTTTACCTTTTAATTAGCTCTGTGACATTGACATTGGTTGACTCCTGATACTTAATGTTAAAAACATAAAAGGAACCAAAGAAAACACAGAGATGACTGCAGAGAAATTTAGCTTATCATTAATGCATTGTCTCACTATCTCCTCAATATTGACCATACACATACCAAAACTAAACAGTATATATATATATATATATATATATATATATATATATATATATATATATATAGCAACATAAAGCATCAGAGCACATGGGGTAATAATGGTTGAGCAGTAATTTACCATTTATTATCACAATTTACCATTTATTATCACTATCTGTAATGGGTCCATAAAGTAAATTACTGTAATTTATTCTTTGCACTACAAAATTTCATACAAATCCTGCTCCTTTTACAGTAAAATACTGTTTCCTTTTATTACAGCAAAACACTGCAACGCTATTTTACAGTTATTTACTGCATAATCTACAGTAAGGGTTAACAGTGCAGCACACAACTTCTGCTGCAGGTAAGCTGAATGATAATCTTTAAAATATATATGCAATACAAAACTTTAAACATTTATGGGGTTTTTTTTAAATAAAAAGAAAAGAAATCAGGAGAGTAAAATATAATTTGTCTGGCGCTGATACTTTATTGTTTGTAGCGAGAAGAAGAAAAAAAAGCAGATGAATACCTGGCTGGGGAGACGGCGACAACATGGATTATCTGTTCTTCAGAAAAGATCACGACATTGTGAGGCGTTTATCATACAACGCAGTTCGTGTTTGTAATCATTAACATTAACTAATAATAATTCTCTCTCTAGACTTTGTTTTAGGGCTTGTGCTTGATTGTGAAAAATGATTAAGCACTTGCATTTTTTATTGCATCTTTTTCGCAAGTTATTTATCTAGCTATTTATTTTTTTTAAAGTGGTGAGAGCATTATTTACTGGCAAACATGTTCCTCGATCTCGTACATCAACAAATAAAGTAGCCTCCCAAAATTAATTGACCTTTTATGTAAAAATTAAGGAATAACTTAACTTAAATAAATATTAATAAATAAAACATCCGTATAAACGTAGGCCTACGTTATTTTTGAACTTTCGTTATTAAAACAACACAAAACTATTTATAAATATTGTAGTTAAATATTAAATAACTTTAACTGCTTGAAACCGTATAATAATATCAATTTAA